GGGCGCCAGGAAAGCCCGAGGATGGTTCGTGAGGGAACTCGAAGGGCCCTGAGGAACGAGGGAAAGCGTGGGGGAGAAATGAGGGGCGTGAGGAGGGACCTGAGCGGGGAACACCGCGTCCTCCTAGGGCGAGGGCCTGCGTAAATCACCCTAATTAGTCCTCTGAGCACCCCCAAGCCCTCCCCAAGCCTCCAGAACACCCCAGAGCCCCCAGGGCCATCCCAGTAACCCCACTGAGCTCCCAAGCCCACCCCGAAGCTCTTCAGGTCCCCCCAAGGGCCACTCAGGACCCTCCCAGTGCCACCTACACCCACCTGTGAGAGCCCTCCCCACACCCCCGACACCCTCCCAGAGCCCCCCCCAGTCTGTATCTTCGCGTTAACTCCAAACAATCTTTTTTACTTCGTCGAACGAGGGTCTCGGGCCCATCAGCTCTTTGCTGGTTGGTGTTTTTGCCGAAGGCACGAGGGGTTTTGAGCCCTTTCCAGTGGCCTCCGTGCTTGGAAAAGGAGATTGCTTTCTTCAGTCGAAAGGGTTTTCTTTGTGAGCAACGCTTCGGCAAAAGAGTTTTTAAAAAAAAACCAACAAAACAACCAACAATAACCTGTCTAGTTGGCTTCAAAGGCCAAAAATATGCGATAATTGTGGTAGGTGACGTGAAGACGGAGACTTGTTCAATTCCCCCCGCTCCCCCAAGGTGGCACCTCAGGCCTGCACAGCGCCCAGCTAAATATAAAAGTGATTTCTCGATGGAACTTTTGCCTCCGAAACAAATAATTTTTCAAAGCCTATAGTAAATACGTCGATTTAAAGAAAACGGGCCGATGAATCTGCGGTCTCACTGTGAAAACCTTTTTCCCTGCAGCGCTGGTTTTGCCGTCCCTGTTGGAAACAAGTCCTGCGTTGGATGCCGGGTTCTGGTGTGTGGGTGCGGTGGCGGCTGAAGTGCCAGTGACGGCTTCATCATCATCATCATCATCACGAGAACTCACATCAACGTGAACCCACGGGTATCAGCTCCTTCCTCTCCCCACACTTTTGGCAGCGGTGCAGTGGCCCGTATCCTCCATTCCCGATTTATAAACATCGTTTGGAGAGAAACTTCATTCGCGGAGAGGTTTTGTGAGGGGTCCTTACACGGGGAAGCAGTGCCGGGCGAGCAGACACCAGCTGGAATTCCATCTGCCACCCATTCCTGCCTCCAGAGACCAAATATCAGTTTTTTGGGCAGCGAAACCGATCTTTTATTTTTTTCAAAGGATATCTGCAATTGCATCGACATTGCACAGAGATCAAATCACACCCGTGGCATCGTATCAGTGCTAAACTGGAGAGAGGAAAACGTGATCTCAAACTGTAGATGATCTTTGTCATATTTGGAGTTACCACAATTTTACTCTGAAAAAAAAACAACACAACTTTTTTTTTTTTTTCCCCAAAAAACAAGTCACTAGGCGCCTGTAAATCATATTCCAAAATCCTCCCACGCCAAGGGCTCCCTCCCAGCCTGTCACACAAGCGGATCTAACAGAAGGACATTGCCCACAGAGCCAAAAAACGATTCTTGGTCAGTCGATCCATGCGAGCGTAGCGTCGGGGGTTTAACTGCAGCCTCGGGAGTCCTCCCGGACGCGCGGGGTCCGTCTATACCAGCGGGTAAGAGGCGTAACTGGCGATCCCGCAGTGGTTCGCGTGGTTCCTCGCCATGCGGATGTAGCCCTCCTCGCCAAAACTCACGCCCCAGCTTTTGGGACAGGAGACAAACAAGCAGAGATGAGCGAAATTAAATTCCTTTTTCGGTAAGTGAAGCGGCAGCTTAATCACTGTCACACCGCCAAAGGGTTTGCGTTAACTGCTTCGTGGGATTTCTAATCCCCGATTCGGTTACGACAGCGCTCGTGAACATAAAGGGAACTTAAGGCGGGCGTAAGTGTATTTTAAATGCGTTTAAAGTTCCCTCACACTGCTGGGACGGCGTAAAGGTGCTTTGACATGGCTAAGCAGGACTCCTGAGGGAGTAGTTTAAGGGCCAACAGCAACTTTCCATGCTGTAACAACCCCCACTGCACAAGCGCCCAACTGGCCGTCCTCTCGTCTGTATAAATATCGGTCGTTATAAAACCGTGAGGATGCCAGCTTGAGCAGCGGGAGAGCCCGCCCCTACAGAGCGCGAGCGGGCGGACGGCAAGAGTTCGTGCCTTCACCTGTTTTTCACAAGCCAGTAATCCTTATCGTTCAGGGTGCCGTAGCCAACCACGAGCACTGCGTGATTCACCTCCTGGGTGCACCGGGGGTCATCGTACACACCTGGAAAAAAAGGGAGTTTGGGAAGGTGTCATCAGACCACAAGAGTCGTTGAGTCAAGGTCAACCTTCGGCAGAGTCACTTCATCCAGGGCTTAAGCCCCAGCTTGCCAAATTCCACCAAATTCCATAAGCTTGATGCGGAGAAAGACACAGAAGACTGTGAAGATCTCCAGAGTAGAAGGACGTACCTGACCTGTACAAGAAGAAGGTGGGCTGGGCGGCGTCGATGGCGACGGAGACAGGTCCGATGTTGGCTACAGCATCTCTCAGGGCTGCTTCGTCGGCGTAGGGGAGCTCGATGTACTTGGAGCAAGTGGCGGCTCGCGCGGAAGCGTCGTATTGGCACGTCCCGTTCTGGTGGGAACAAGAGGGAGCCGAGGAGTGTGAGGGATTCACCAGGAACATCTCAAGACTTTGGGGTGTTTTCCGTCAGCCCTCTTTTACCCTGTGCTAACCCCCTTCGTCATTTTCCTGTGAGCACCATTTTTCTACACAAAAGATGCCTGGAAGGACCTGAAAAGACTTCCCCACACCAAGATCTGCCAGACTATTGCAACAGAATTCTCTGCCTTTTTTTTCTAGAAACCTCTGATGACAATACTTCTACCACTTCCCTAGAGAAACCGTCCCTGCTTCCTCATCCTTGCTCCTCCTCATGTTTAACCTAAATTCCTTCTATCGTAAATCAAGCCCGATGGCTTCTCAGTCTCCCTCTGGACACAGGGAACAGCGTCTTTTCTCTCTGGAGCTGCCTTATGCATGTTTGAAGGTTCGTATTCCACTTCTCTTTCTTGGACCGAGCTGCTGGTGCGTTGACCTGTTTACACAGACCCTGTTTTCAAGACACCGGGTTGTTTCAGGGCATCTCTTGTCTCTGGCCATCAAGACTCTCAGCATGAGGATCTTTATTTTCTTACGGCTCTTTCCTTACGACCTTGCAGCGGTCACACAGCATCTGTTACCGGCAACTTTTCAACAAACAATCGTCTAAACCTCATTCACCGGAAGCCTCTGCCCCCTGAAATGGTAGAAATACCAATATCCCATTTGTCAACTACAGAAGATGACAATAGGACCCAGGACTCCTGTCCCATTTTTCCTTTCCGTGTAGTACGTTGCCTCATAATTTATGTAGGACAGAAACATGTAGAAATTCTGGCTCCCAGTCCGGGCATTCACCCAAGAGAATAAAAAACAACTCCAGAGGTCCTTTCCCTGGCTTTGAAAGAATCAGCTGCAAAGACGACACGAGACTGGTAGAAACCAAGACAGAGGGAAATCGGTGGGAGAGGAGGAGAAAAGTGCCTGCACGGGAGAGCAGAACGAATGGCCCTGCTGCTCTGCACACACACACACGTGTTTTCCTGCAGCTTTCCCGTGCTGTTGGGGTCTGTCACCTACCTGAGCCGTGTAGGGGTAGGACTCGTCCGAGTCAATCCCTTGGTTGTCGATGATGTACTGGAAAGCGCCGGTTATGTAACCTCCGCTGCAGCCCTTGTTCCCGTACATCATGGAGCAGTCAACGAGGTTCTGGGGGCTCAGGGACACCAGCTTCCCCGTCTTCAGCTTCACCTGGGCCTCGAGGGCTCCCACGGCGCTGAACGCCCAGCACGATCCACAGGCGCCCTGCCAAAGCCCCAGAGACGCTCAGCCCGAGCCCGGGACCGAGACGCGAAGAGGCGCAGAGAGAGTTTCAAACCTGGTTCTTCACGTCCGTGACACATCCCTTCTCCCTCCAGTCCACCGTGGCCGGGAGTCGGCTGCCGGGCTGCGGTCGGGACGTGGAGGTCCGGTTTGGCCGAGGGACAACGTTGAGTCCGGTCAACAAAGCTGCCACTTCTTCCCTGGTCTGGGGGGAAAAGAAAATCCCGGCTCATGATGTCCTTGTCTTGGATGCATCTTACACCGGGCGTGCTGGAAGTGGAGGGTCATTTCCCTTGAACAGTCTGAGCGGCAAGAATTAGGTTTGTGGAGTCCTTGATTTTGTTTTTGACATTTATTGTCCTGCCATTCATTGGAAAGGGCAAGAAAAAGAAGATACGGAGCGTAACTCCAGCGCCAAAACCCGATGGCTTTCGCTGAACAACACCCCGACCTTGGGACAGAGGGATGATTTGCAAATATATATATATATATAATGACCAGGCCCAGGTCTGGGCATCCCTAATGCTGCGTTACGGAGCCGTTTCCTCACACCACATTGCCTCATGCCGCTGGGTTGGGCACAGGAATGTCTCAGCAGTTTGTCCCCGGCTGCTGGACTCCCGGAGAGGGTGAGCTGAGAGAGGGAGGGGGGGGTTGGGAGTTCCCCCACCCCTAACCCACTGCGACGCCTTGTGAAAGCAACCTCGTGGGTGGTTAGAGATGGAGACAACCCTAGAGATGAAGACAACCCCCTTCTCAGCAGCGTGGCCGGCACCTACCATGTCTGCGAGGCGGTTCATGCCCAGCTGGTAGGAGTGCAGCCCCAGGGACTGCTCCAGATTGTGCAGCGTCACCAGTCGCAGGTTCCTCTCCCACGTTGCGCGCCGGTCCCCTTCCTCTTTCTGAAAGCAAACGCGGCCCTCGTGGCGTGTAGCTGCGGCCCCCGCGGCCATTTCATCCCATTTTATCCCCCGGAAGGTTGTGGGGAGCCCCTGGGGAGCAGCCGTGCTTCGGAGCGCTGCCGGCTCCTGTCCCCCCACGGCAGCACCCCGAGCTGCCCCCACCCCGGCACAGCCCTACCTCGTGGCCGTACTCCTTGCCGTAGGTTTTCTTCCAGAGCTGCCAGTGCCAGTCCAGCGCGGGGTCGGGGTGTCCCAGCGCCGCCGCCAGCGCGGCCAGGAAGGCGACGGGAACCAGAAGCTTCATCCCGCTCGGCTGGGGCCGGGGCGTCGCACACGGGACGCAGGCTGGGAGCCGCAGGCTCAGACCCGGAGCCGAGCTTGACCCCTTAGTGACAAATCCGGTTGGGTGAGGGAGGCCCAGCGGTGATGACAGCCCTGACCTGCGCTCCCCGGCATGCCCTGCGCTGCCCTTCGACACCGGCTGATGCCCGACACCTCCCGTCCGGCCTGCCCAGACAAGCACCCGGCAGCGGCGCTGCCTCGCCCCCTGCGCACCCCCAGCCCCTGCCAGCTGGGGGGACAAATCCTGCCCCGCACTCGGGACCTTCCCTCGGTGGGAAAAGCGGTGCTGGAGGAGCCAACCCCCGCCCTGCCCGCGCCGACGCCGAGAGGCCGGGACGCATCCAGACACGCGCCTCGTCTGGCGGTTCCGCCCTGCCTGAGAAACCCTCCCCGAAGGCGGTTTGCACGTCGCCTGGTCAAGGAGCTGTTTTGACCAACCCGTGTTTTCCAGCGCCTTGAAAAACAAACAGCAAAAAAATTCCTATTTTTATCCAACCGATGCCCGCCAGCTCCCGAGGACGGGCTGCTACCTCCAGTTCAACTACCCAGAGAGGGCTTGGAGGAGATTAGAGATAAAATGGAGTCAGAGTCAACATAAAAAATGTTGTCCCTTCGGTTTTACTTCCTCAAAGCTCCCAGCGGGGTGTTAAAATACAAAAGAACCCAACGTACCTGGAAAAGCTTCCGATGGTGGGTACCTGCAGCGCGTGTCTACGGGCTGGGGGGACACCGGGGACAAATCCAGCACATCCCCACCTCCGGGACAACCCGGACCTCTGGCACACGGCGCCTGCGACTCGTCAGACAAATCACGAGTCAGGAAATGAGGAAATGCTCTGATTTCATTTTCACTTAGCTGGGAACAGGCCTTGCTGTGCTGGTCATGGGCTGATCTGAAGCAGGAGCCTCCATCTCATCGGAAAAATGACTGTGGAGGAGAAAGTTTCCTTTTCCCCGCACCCCAAAAATTAGTGTCGAGGCTCTCACGGCGGTTTATGAGGCTCGTGGGGCCGGCGGGCGGGAGCGGGGCTCGCGCTCCTCTCCCGGGTTCTTTACGTTTTCGTGACTCGGTGTTGAGCTAAGAGACAGGATGAGGTCAAGCACGGAGCCTTGCTACTGGTTTGAACTGGGTAGAATCCCGTCCCACCGCCGCAGTGTGCCCACCAGACCAAAGCCAGCCCTTAGAAAAAAAAATAAAATCACATTTATTCCC